AAACAAACAAACAAAAAACAAGCCCCAGGATCCCAGCAGCATGGCAGCACAGACTGGGAAGCAGTTCCACACTCAAATGGAGCTCCACAGCCCCTCAGGAAGAAGCAGAGATGGTGCACGGAGCCAGGTATTTGAGCAAAAGGAGGGGGAGGTGGTGAGAGGTAAGGAAGAAATCCAAAGAAGCAGAAAAAAGCAACCCAGCAGTCAACAAGTGACATTCAGGGAGTCGGCCAGTGCAGGGAGGTGGAATCCAAGCAGCTGGTGCTTCCCGGCCAAAAGACTGCGGCCGCAGGAAGCAGAGGAGGCTGAGTGGGGTGAAGAAGGGTGGGGGTTGGGAAAGAGTATATCGCTGTTCAGCAGTTGTTCTGTCTCCTGCTGGAAGCTCTGTGAAGCTGCTTTCTCCTACCCCCTATTTGCTGGTCTCTGATAGGAGTCCAAGATGGCGGATCCGTGATGCATTAACTGGTAGGGGACCTCTCCATGTATGTCTCCTCGCTCTCTGCTCTCTGTCAGTTTCTTATTCCATTTGGTGATTGGCTGAGTTCTTTATCTCTTCATTTGATGTTTAGGATTTCAGGATTGCTGTTTTCACTGTTTGGCTTAGTTTTTTGGATCTTTGCTGTGGAGGGATGGCGTGGTGCTTCTGCCTAGAGTGCCATGTTGTTGGAAATCTGATTTTTTTTTTTTTTGAGTGTGTGACAATTTCACATTGAAGTGGCATCATTACTCTTTTGTGAGTATTTTATTTCCTATCTGTTCCTGACAAAAAAAAACAAATCACCGTTCATTCTCCTAACGATGTGTCTCCAAAATACTCAAAGTCCCAGAGTAAAATACATATTTAAATATATCTATCCTTACATAGAACACACACACACACCTGTGTGTGCTCGTGTATGTAAGTGTACATATATTTGAGGATTTTATAACTTATTTTTCTTTTCTTATCAAGTAAAATTGCATATATCTGAAGATTATTTTAGTTTCGCACAAAACATGACATCTGTTGGATTCTAAGTTACATTTGACTTCATTTCTAATCTAATTACTTATGTTTCAAAAAGCTTTCATTTCACTCAAGTACACACGAAGAAATTTCAGAGCTTCTGAATTCATTCATTCCCAAGTATAATAAAACAAATAATGACACATAGTTTAAAATTGAATGCAATATATTACTTTTACTGCCCAAATTGGTTATATTTTGCATATATGTAAATTAAGATGGGCCAGCCATGGTCCTAATCTCTCCTGAAATTATGTTATTTAAGTACCTATATTTCAAGTGCAATAAAGATTATATTCCTGCCTGATAAAGTAATAAATGTAATTTGTCCTTCTCTCCAATCTAGACTAACGATAGTCGAAATGAGGAACGGCTCCTGTGTCGTCTATGGCTCCAGCTTTAAAGGCTATACAGAAGACTGTTTAACTCCATACACTTACATCTGCATGCAGAGGATTGTGTAAGGTGCTTATGATTTACAAATCATAAAGGGTGCAGAAGACACAGAAGCCATCCTTGCATGTTCTCTCCAATTTCCATGAAGAAAATTTCTATTAGAAGGTTCAACCAATGTTTA